ATCTGTGTCTTCTGGGTACGCGGATGCTTATTTTCAAATTTTCTTTTTGGGCCTTGACCTTCGAGTTTCGATGCGTTAGCTTGATAGTTCTTTCCCCCATAAGAGCGATTTCCATTTCTGGTTTCCTCCTTCCTTCGGGTACTTTGAGAATATGTTTCCCCTCTCGCTTTTTCCGCGATTCTGCGATTTTGAAACTTCACCGCCAATTCGAAAAGTTCCTGCAATGTGCTTGGGTTTCTAATTTCAAAGTAGTCTTGGACAGCGGGTAACAATCTTGGTAATATTATTTCAATAATCTCCGCATCGGGTTTCTTCCCGTACAGCATATCCGTTAGCTTGATTTTTCGTAGAATAAAGTCCGTCAATTCTGCTGTATCCCGTTGGTAGAAACTATATAGTTCGGCTTCCAGCCGTGCGCGATCTTTCACTATGGGGAAGGCCTTTACTAACGGTTTTTTGAAATTTTCAAATGTATACGTCGGGCTTCCAAATTCACCTAGAAGAAATTTGCCTATATTTTTCCACCATAGCGCGGCCTATCCTCTTAGTGCTGATGTGGCGATGGCAACTTTTTGTCTTTCAGGCACAGGGTAGAGCTGAAAGTTGTTTTCTAGACCTTCTAAAAATACCGCCACCGAATTTTTTCCGTCGAAATGGACGTTTGGCTTGATTGATGCTCTCAAAGTCTGGACCAGGAATCCAAATCCTTCTAACTGCGTTGTCATTTCTTGGTGTTGTCCAGCGGCTTCCATCCAGTTTTCGGCCATTTCAGTTCGATAAGTGTTCGGGCGCCAATATAACGTTGCGCGCCTCCAACTTGCACGCAACCAAGAGGTGACTGTGAAAACTTGTATAAAAGATAGAAGCTTGTGAAGGGTTTAAGTCCCTTTTTATTCAACGTAATAAATTACAATTGCGTTCTCTTGACGCTTACAGACGGTGCCAACTTGGCAGTCAAAAAAAATAATAACCTGAAAAGAAAATAAGGACAAGGTTCTAACTACGAGGCTCTCTAAAATAACTAACTAACTCACCGCGTTTTACAATACCGCTGCTAATTCAGCAGACTTGAAGCTCACTGGAACGATGACCACTACTTTCCGCCAAGCACATAGGCCGCAACGCGGGGTTCTTCAATTCTCGCTAACTACCTCCGCGCTCGCTAAGTAAGAGAATCTCTCACACCGAACTTGTTTCCTTCTATTTAAATCAGAATACTTCCGCTGATAATTTGAATCCTTGCGCGTTCTACTCAAATTTACATATTCTGGCATTGGCAGTTTCAGGATAAAGTAAGGCTTGAGAGGAAAGATAGTTTAAACTTAAAATAAATGTTAGTTAAAATAAATATAAACCCTACATACTGTTTAATGACGTTTACATACAGTTTAATAATAAACCATGCTTTTTCCGTGCATTTAAGCTATCTGGATCCCAGAAAATTTTACATGGATCTTCTGCGAGTTCTTTTATCATTGAATAATGTGGTACATAGGTTAATCGAAACACAGTCGTAACTCTAAAGTATTTGAAATTAACACTAGTTCTAATAATTTATATATTCTATGAAAATGATTTTTTTTTTTTAAATTTTTAGCGCAGGTATACAAAACGCCTACTAGGCCTAACATCCAGGCTGGATGCTTCCATTAATAAGAGTTCGTTGGTTTTCTGAATTCGCTGAAAATGAGCTGTCAATCATTCTTTTGTCGTTTTCTGACCTGAGTGACCTTTTGCCTTAAGACTGAATTCTTGCCGTTTCTTTAGCGTCTGCACATCGTTTCCGTTGGTATTCTGCGTTGCTGCAATCTGCATCCAAGAAACGATATTGGAAAGTGGATAATACATAGTATAATGGAAAAGTGCTGACAACTGACCACTTCAACTGAGTGTTTAGTGTTTCATTTTCTCCCAGTTTACTTCTGGAAACTGCTTGAAGGGCAGGAAAATCCATGAATCGGGCGTTTCAGCTGTTTAGGAAAAACAGATTCAATGGATATGAAAGGAATTATTCGTAAATGTTAGCTAGTTCGTAAATTTTAATAAAGCAAAATTCTGGAAGATCGGATTTTATTTTAGTTGAGTTTAAGAAATACGAAGTCTTTATTTACACGTTGAAACAAGACTTTTCTTCTAGTGGTATTAATCTTGCTCTACTTTTTATTTTAAATTTGATTTTTTACTTTTTATTTTAGAAAATTTTTAATGATGTTTTTTGAATAAGAATATGAAGCTTAAACGCTTGCAAAATATTTTTGTTTTCTATTTTTTTTATGAAAACGACAAGCTTATTACATAATGCTAAGAATTAAAATAAGAAGAAATCACATCTTCTTTCGACTTATTATTTGCTTATTAAAACATTCACTGAATTTTAATGGAATCCATTCATAACTCATCGCGGTGCCTTACGATACTTTTTCTTCTCCATTCAATTTGAAATAAGCAATACCAATATTATAACATTCTGTTGTTTGATTAATAAGAAAATAAAAAAAAAGTTTTTAAAATTCCTCATTTTACTTTTAATATGTTCGATAAGATATGTATTGCAACATTTCCGTGTCTTAATGCATATAATTATCAATTCTATGTAACCCTCATAATTAGCCTGGATAAGATGAATGTGAAGTTCTTGACGTTTCGAAAAACGTTCTTCAAGTGACTAACACATGATTTACCTCGCTACAGGTACATACTAGCAATTGAAAACTCCGTTCTATACATTGAGAATCGGAGTTAAAATAAAAATTCTATTTGCAGGCTAGTTATGATTTGGTTTGGTAATCTGAATATGGCAAGCACTGAAGTCTATTTGCTTCGGGGGAGGAGGGAGAGTTTGCGTTGAAGACTTCCTCGGGAAAACTGGTTCGTATTTGCTTGCATACCAGGAAAATTCCGAAACTACCCTTTGAACCATTTGCAAGGATGTGAACCGGGATCGAACTACCAGCATTTTGCAGTCTTAACTATTCAGTCGCTGGTGGATCACAGGTTCCATAAAAGGCCGTTCCCACTGGGGTTTATCTGAGGTAACGGAAACAACTGATATAGCCGACCCATCTCCAAAACCAGTTTTTTCCCATAGGGTAGCAAGTTGAAAAATCTGAACTGCAGGAACTGACTGCGTTAGCTCAGATAAACCCCAATGAGAACGGCTCTTAAGGTATCTTACTTGGAAGCTATGTTTGATTTATAAGATTATTGCTTACTTTGTTATTAATATAATCCAGATTTGCTCAGGCATTTTAATGTTAATAATTACACCTAAATTTTGAGTTCCTTTTAAAATGCATCACTAGTTTTGAGAGTCACTACACAGTTGTTCCCCTTTTAATTTTTAAAGACTTGTTACTCTTGTTAATCAACAATATGCGTTATCCCCCGTTAATTCGGAGTTTGGTGTTAGCTTACAAATTTTAAATAAAATGCTTACTTCTCTGGATGAAACTTGTGGGGGGCGAACTCAGTGGCTACAAACTTTGCACAATTAGATTGCAGATGTAACAACAAATAAAGAAATTAAACATTGATCGAATTAATGAGCATTTTCTTCCCCCCACCCCACCCCAAAGCTGGAGAGAAATTTATTGCTACTTTGAGAACACAAAAATGCACGACTTCATGATATCACTTCTCGATGAGGGTGAAAGACAACGACTCAGTTGTGAAGAAAATCATGACACTCTAAAATACAGAGTTTGAGATTTTGATTTTGCATCTAGCTTAATCTTTCAGAATACATTAAAAAAAAACAAACTGTATAAGGTATAAATATAGTTTAAATAGTAAAGGCCGGTTTGGTATGTTTGATTACGGCAAAGCACTCGAGGGCTATCTGCCTAAGGGGAGATATGCCATCGTGGATTACTTTCTAAGGCAAACTGGTTCGTATACACATCGCGCATGGGAAAAACCACGAAAATGCAGCCAGTTCGTTCACAAGATGCCCGGACCGGATTACCAGTGTTCAGCGACTTTACCGCTCGACCGCTATTGGGCAAAGAGCGATTTGGAGGCCCTTTTAAAAGTGAAGACTTGGGGCACATGCTCTGTTTTTCCTTATAAATGGATCAGGTATTGCCATCTACTGTTAACTTTTGATCTTCGGCAAGAATTCTTATGCTGAAGGCTGGGGATTAAAAAAATTCGCATAACTTTAAAGAGTATTTATTACTTCAGCTTATCACTCAATTCTTAATACTGCACTAAATAATTATCGTGAATACGAAATTCACATAAGCACGTTTCCTGGAGTTTACATGCTTCTTTGCACACGTTTTCCTAAAGCTTAGAATGACAAGAAAGCAGGAAAGAAAAACGCTTAAATAAAAAAAAAAAAAAAAAAAAATTCGAAAAGAATAACCTAAGGCCTCCCTCTCCAAAGACAAGAATTTTTTTAAAAATTTCTTCCGATTTCTTCTGAACACAGAAGTATTCTGCTCAGCTGCATTTTGAGTATACATTTCTAAATATGGAAATGAATGATTAAACGTTCGGTATTAGAATCTATATAAATTATAGCAATGCATCTGACAAAAAGTGTATCAATGTATCTGAATTTGGGAATAAGTTCAAAATTAAGTTAAGAGTAAAAATTCCGGTAGAGAATTTTTTACCGTTTTTACCGAATCATTTATTGTTTACTGTTCTTTTACTTTACATTACGTTAAATCTGAATTTGGAAATAATTTTAAAATGAAGCAAATTGCTTAATTTTTCGTCCGTGCTCTCATTCATGTGTTCACAATTTCATTAATTTTTCATTTCATAATAAAAATGAATTCCCAGTAGGGATTTTTTTACGGTAGGGACTTTAAACTTTTACATTGTTTATTGTTTACAATCCTTTTACTTTGTGTTAAATCGATAACAAAATTTCAAGATAACTTCCCATTCATTTCATATTTAGTTAAAGTATTTAATGCTGTTTTTTAAGACATTTATAAATTTATGTAAGTATTATATAAGCATATAGTTTATACCATTAAATTCTGCAGATCTACCTAAAAGGAAAATCCTGGAATACTGTGGGGTCTTCGACAGGACAGGCATGGGTCCTTGCACTTGGATGGAAGATGAGAATGGTGCGGGGCCTTCGGCGCCACCTAGATGGGGATATGGTCCAGAATCTCAGCTTCGGATTACTTCAAATGAGGATGTAGGAAATCCATATTTTCACCACCTTAGTATTGACAATGGCATGTCTTGTTATGCAACGACTTCAGCGCACGGATACAGACATCCTCAACCCAGCAGTCAGAGCTACAGAACGCCTACACATGGTAAGACCATATTAGTACTAATCGCGAAGTTAGTGATGTAAGATTTCCATAAAGTGTTATGAAAACATAAGACTGTTATGCTGTATTTAGTTTGCATAGAGCGTCTAAAATTGTAGGAAGCCTGCACTTTTTCAGAATTTAATAACGTTTTCATGGTACAAAAGTAAGCTACTAAGTTCTTTCGCGTTGTAAATAATATACATAGTTTTACGAAAAGATGGTAATAGATTTCATTTTTTAAACATAAATCTCTCAGTAATTTGCTCAAAATGAGTAAAGAATTTTATGAAAAATAATTTCAGTTTCATATTAGAGAGATTTCTGTGTACATAAGTGAGTACACTGAGGCAAGTGAGGCATTTGCCTCAGGTGAACAACTAGACGGGGAGCCAAATTAGCTACAAAAATTCAGAAACTCATTCTGAAAAAGAAATTCTGATTCGACTTTGAAAATACATCAAGAAGCAGCGAAAGAATTTAAATTCTTATAAATCCTCCAGTAGAATTAAGAGAAGAACTTATATAATACTAATTTTTTCAAAAGTGATGAGGTGTGCATTAATGTGTATACTGTTGAGTTTACTTTTAGCTTGTTGCAATTAGCTGCATAGAATAAATTTGTCAAGAAGACGCCGACGTTAATATTCTATACTATCATTCTTTAGTTTGGACTACAGGTTTTACTTCGCCATAACAAACTATCCAAAGTTTACTAATTGAGTTTATGTAGTATTGCAACAGCCTAACCTTTGTTTCAGATGACTTAAGGCATAAAACCCGAATGGAATAGCATCGAAAGATCAAATGAAGATGTTTGCAGATGAAATGCACCATATTATCAGGCTTTTCTTCTTTTGTGTAAAATTTGTTGTTGAACGAGACCCATGGTGCGAGGTTGTGTCTATACCGAATTTGCGAATTTCTGAAAAGACGACAAACCATTGTGTCTAATTTTAATATAACTAATATTGACATTAAGAAACATGTTTTAAAAGTTTAGTTCCTCTACGTTGAGTATAAGGTAACCAATATAAAATATATATTAAAAAAAAACTTTGTTCTTGTGAAAGGAATTGTAAGAAATACAGTTTTGGAAAGGTTGAAATATGAAGGAAGGGAAATAAATGAATGTGATAAAGCTGTAGATTTAAAAATTTGAAAAACGAAAATGAAATCAAAACAAAAATCAGTTAGAGCAGACTGGCAAACTTCCTTATTACTGCGAATGAAAATTACTGTCAAAGCACTTACCATTTGCAAAAGTTCACGCATTGAAACCCCTTAGCTAACTGATGAGCTGGATAAATGTAAGGAAGTAAATCTTATTAATTTTAAATCTATGCTTGTTGTAAGGGCAATGATGAGAACGACAATCTATGAAAACATCTTCAGACGCCCATCTATTGGCCATATTTAAATAAGAGTTAGCTACCAAATAAAGTTTTTTTCAAGCTTAAATAAGCCTTTCTTTGCTATGATAATTGATTTGAATGATAAACGTTATGCGAATATTAAAGAACTGGCTCGTTGATTAACCGACTACAGTAAAGTTTGGAATTTGAGGCGGTAATAAATTTATTGTGGGAGTAAGTTATCGCAGAATTTATGTAACAAAATTACAGTTCATATTAAAATATGAGATACTGTTAGTTATAGGACATCTGCCAAAAAATGTTCTAAAGAAACATTACATGTACCAGTGTTACCTATTAGCCACCATTAAATTAAGTATGTTATTCTTATCTCTTATGTACCAGTGTTACCTATTAGTCACCATTAAATTAAATATGTTATTCTTATCTCTTATAATAGTGCTCTTATTTTCAAAGAAAGTATTGCCAGTGACATGTTTTTAAAACATTTTATTCTGTTTCTTTCATTGTTCATTGAAATAAATGACTTTAGAGATATATTCTTTATATATTTTTAAAAACTTTACCGCTGTGGCAATGACAAAGCCATATTCGATTTTTAATTCTTTTTAAAATCAAGGAAGTGAAATAATTTTCTTTGATATTTGACTGTGTACCAAATATTTTGCATCAGGAACAATTGTGTTAGATTATTCGATTGGTATAGATATAGTTAACTTGTTTTGTGTATGTATGTATTTTTTTCTTCTCTCCCCAATGGTCGGATAACATGCATTGTATACAAGGGCTCGAATTTACCTTTTTGCCTTATATGAAAAATTGTGTTGGTACGGCTCTGCTTCCGATAAAATAAAAATTCTAGTTAGTAAAATATTCCTTACATTTATTACTGACCTCTTTCTATAACTGTAAAAATTCCACATTTAATGTGCAAAAACTGTGAAATATTCCAGAACAAATTTATTGTCTTGTAATTTATATTGGAAATTGTCTTAGAAAATACGAAAATTTTCCATTAAACTTAGCAAACAGCTTGAAACAAAAGGTAAACGAAGGTCAACTGCTCCTGCAAAATTATTAATTACCTGAATTACCCACTTTTTTATGCACCATACTGAAAACTGTTTTCTATAAGTTATTTTCCTTATGAGACGAATGTAATTAGAAGTATATCATCATTTACAAATATCCTGCATACTTATATCTATATGTACTTGAGAAATTCTATTTATCTCTCGCTTCACTTTTGTTATTAATATTGCACAGCTTTCAACCTTGAAATGCGAAAAATCGGTAAGTTTTGGAAATGTACTATACATACTGATGTAAAATAAAAATTAAATCAAATATTATTAAATATTAGTTAAGTCTTCATAAAATGTTCTATAGATGCCTACAAGTAGATTAAGGCAATTCAGATAAAATAAAATTTAATTAAAAAATGGATTGAAAATCACTAGGGATGTAGAAATTTAGGAATTTTAGAAATTTAAATTTCATCAATTTGATAAATTTCATTCATTTCTTGGAAACAATTTTCTCAGCAGAGACTAAAAATTAAAAACCATGATACATGAAGAAGTGATAAAAAACACTAAGTCTCGCAGTAAAATCGCGAAAATTGGCAGCCGTGGTATTGGTTTTTAACAACGGACCTGAGTGTACTTTTATCAGGGCACCAGCATACGTTAAAAATCAAATTATAGGAATCTGAAAAGAATAGCAGAATATTTATTGTAATGCAAACAAGGAACTTAACTAGTCATGCTGTCTGGTCTACTTAATGAACTAGTTTAATCTCGTATATCTCAATTAGACAATAATATCCTATTCCTTCTTATAAGGCCAGGCACTCAATGATACATTTCTCCTGAAGTATAAGCAAAACCTCATTTAGACATAGGCCTGCCTAATTTTTCTGCGAAATCCGATTTCTTTTTTGTCTTGAACCACTAATTTCAAATAGTGTTAAGAAAGAGAATACTTTTTTTTTAACTACACTCATAAACAGGCTAAGAACATTTCTTGTGGACAGAAAAGTCCAAATCGATAGTCTCTCGACTATCGATTTGGACACTTCGATTTGGATCTTCAACTTCTAGGCTCGAACAATAAAGATTAAAATTTGCACTTCGAAAATTCTTAATTCTCTGAAAACAACTGATAAAAAATTACTAAAATCTACGAAGATTTCTCTCTCCCTCTTCACAAATGGTCATATTAATTAGATAACAATTTACACATTCTGGTATCTGCTGTTAATAAGACATTCTTCTTATAAGAGAATTAACCTTAGAAGTAGGAGGAATAGAATGATTGACTTAAAACTGAACCTTATGTATTTTTATGACCATAAGAAAAGCCTAAGCAAGACAAAAATCCTTATGGGTACATTGTGGTGAATACAGTGAACCTTCTTTAAGACGCCAACCAGTGGTTTTAGTCGATTTTGATGTGTTTTGAAGGTGGCAACCCTAGAGGGAGGATTTATTTCCAAAGTGTACTTTTAAAACGTTTTATGTTTCCGAAGTTTACCATTCCACGGTAAAATTATAACAATTATTGAGAATGCTAACTACTGTCGCTAAGTGTGGTTAATGTTCAGACAGCTCATTCCATTTGGATTAGCGTAATGATCTTAAAATAGTAGATGACTTCACATATAAGGTAATCCAGCCATTTTGAAGCTGTTTTTACAAGAGTAAAATATGAATGAAGGTTTCATGTAAAATGGTTTTTGACATCTGAGTTGATATGCTGAAGATGTTCTACAATGAAGATCCCTAATTAATATTAATACCATGCTTTCAAGAACTTGATAAAAACATTTTTATCTTAAAAATTAATGGACAAGTGTTAGATTGCATTGTTTTTTAAATGTTAGGTTGTGGATGTAAAGATAGTTTTGGTTTTAATACAGAAAAACATTGACTTATATTCTGATGAACCTGATCCTTTTAGTTTTTTGCATTTAATAATGGATAAAAACGAGACTATTAAATTCACCTAGGAATTAACATTTGAAAAAACATAACGTCTCTTTAAGCACGCAACAACGGATTTCACGTATTGACATTCTGTTGTATCAGTGTCTCCAGCCCCCTCCTTTTTAATTTTCTTCCTTTTCTTTTACTTGTATTTATTAATTTAGGTAAATGTATCTCGGATCATATGGATAAAGAAATGAATATCTTTTACTACAGTGTTTCTGTTCTTATTTGATTTCCATATGTATATCTCAAATTAGCATACTAAAAACCACTAACTAAATTAAAATCCACAATGCTTTTGAAGCTATTAAATAAAGTAATCCTTTTTACAGCTGGAACTGTTTATCGGCCTGTACATTATGGAACGTCACTACATCCACCACCTCCACCTTGGCTTCCAGCGGACACAACATGCCACATTAATTCTGCTTCCGCCACTTGGTACAGTACGACACCGACCGTTCCTTCATCGTATCCAGGCAGCAAGCCTCCAAATGCAATCGAAAACTACTACCACCCGTTTCAGAAGCCGCAAAGTCAGTATTTTGGTTTCCCTCCAACACCTCCCAGCGAAGGACCGAAAGACGCTACCGCTACTGATTCGACTTCAATCACCTACGAAAACGACAGAAACTTTAGCGGATGTGGCAAACATCAGTTTGCTCCTCAGGATATCATTCCTTCTCAAGGTAAGCTCAAAATATTATAAAATTATATCTTCAGGACTATGTTTAGGATTTGATTTCTAAAATTATAGGTTTCAGAGCCCTGCTGAAAGCCATCAGGAAAGATGAGCAAAAGTAAATGAATAGTTAAGCACCAAATTGAAATAAAACCTAAAGAGATGAACAAACAAGTAACAGAATAAGTTAAATTAATGATAATTAATCAAATAATAAATTAAATATTCTAAATAATTAAATTTGGGGCTACAGCTGGAGTTACTATTTCGCTTTAAAACCGAGTACTGGAGTTAGATTTGGTTGCATTTAACCCTGATTCAAGACAGAAATACTGTTTTACGTCATAACGTATACGAAGGTAAAGGCTATGTTCTACGATCTCTAAGAATATTATGTTCATAACTTTTTTGAGGTAATGTGGGAAAATTATATGCGTGGTAATGTGCCTGAGAAGAATAAAGACAATAAATTATTTCGAACACGAGAGATACACATAAACTGATAAACTTGATATCAAAAGCCACTGATGAATACTGCAGAGTAAAATTTTCCATAAGAATACGTTTGCAGAGCATTAATGTATGAATATCGCCCTCTCTAATGACTAACTTATCTTTGTAAGCTGAATTATATACATTGATGTCATATTTCAGGAATATTAAAAAATATTGATTCCGTATTTCCTTGTTGAAGACATACAAGAAAACCAAATGTTAATCTAGCAATGAATCCAAACATTTATTCCCCATCTTTCAAGAATACCCTACGTTCATATCCGTAGGTTGGCAATTATTTGTAGCGAAGACCTTTGGCTGTGATAAGACTTATGAGCCATTGTGAGCAAGAATCTTGAAAGGCATTCCAACATAAAACAACAGGCAACAACATAAAACAACAGGCAACAACATAAAACAACAGGCAACAACATAAAACAACATTTAAACAACAGGCATTCCAAATTGCTAGTATATATTTTTATTATTTCACTACAAGAGTAATGGAGAAATGTGTAATTCCTTATATAATTAAGATGTTTTCTTGAAAGACTTTTTAAGAGGTATAGACATATCTTTAAGCTATGTATGGAGAAAGATTATAGAAATATAAATGCAGCTAGCCTACAATAATCCCAAAATGAACGTTTATAATAGAGAAAAGAATAAGAAACTTTAAAAAAAAATAGCTTTTTAGTTTGAGAAGTATTTAGTTATATTATATAAACTAATTGTATTAAAATTTTAAAATATTTTGTTTTTGAATTACTAAAGGGATATTAAATGTTTCTAACTAATATTTAATATATGTTTTATATGATTTGCTTGATTTTATATCGATGGACTAATTTTCTTCTTAAATAACATTCTGGATTTTTATAAAAAAGGAATTTCTTTTTATGAAAATTAACAATGAAGAGTGAATTATGAAAACCCTGATTCAAGACAGAAATACTGTTTTACGTCATAACGTATACGAAGGTAAAGGCTATGTTCTACGATCTCTAAGAATATTATGTTAGGTCAAGAAAAATTTTGAATTCTCTTACCCATGAAGCTTTTCCTCTGCTAGACTAAGAAAAGTGAAATGACAGAGATTTATAGTAGCGGAACAAATCGCTAAAAGGATGAAAGGTAGATGGGAAAGCGAACGATGAAAAAGCTGAAAGCAACCGTGAAAAACACTAGTTTCTTCCTATACGAACTGAACAATCCTTATTGATGTTTTGGATAAAAAATATTGTTTAGGTTTAACTTCTCATACAGGGAAATAAGGTGAGAATAAATATAATTATTTGCCTATAATATATTTACCTTAATACAATAATATTATGATTAGTATAATAAACCCCACTGACACGCATTTCTCGTGTTAAATAGGTAGAAGTGTATGGGGCACCAAAGAATTTACTACAGAGCCGAACAAATATTGCCCCAATACACTAACCAGCTAGAATTTCAAAAATGGAATTAACTGTATGCTTTTTCTACTAAGGAACATCGGGAGTTGTTACATTTAAACATAAGAAGATAATAACCTAAAATTAGTCAAAGTTACAAAACACAAACTGTTGAGTATACTCATTACAATACTGGATTACGTGAATACAATAGAGTTGATATTTTGGAGATCGTTACTCTGGAAATTTTCGTGTTAAAAGTAGTTCGCCTTATCTGGAAATGGCGAGATGAGATAGTGAACAAAAATAAAAATATGTAGTATATATTTATTTTTAAAAGGAAGCTATATTGTGTACCTTATACAGAGCTGGATTAATTATTAAGCAAAATGAGCACGTGCTAAGGGTATCAAGGAAAGTGGACAGCAGTAAAAGATGCTTGGGGACTCAAAGAGAAGGCCACCCGAAAAATTTCCCATTGCCGGTTTTACCATGAAATGTACAGTGCAGCTAAACCAAGACCGAAAGAAAAGAAACGGAGGGGAAAAAATGGCGTAAATGTACACTGCTGCTGGCCATTAACATTGCAACACCAGGAAGGATCTAACAGATTTTAAAAATCACATGAAAGGAAGAAGAAGTTGGGATATACAAACGATAGTATAGAAACGATAGTATTTCAGCGCAATTAGACGACGCAGGAGAAAAACGACATTTGAAGCACTGCATAAGAGAAAAGTTGTGTAGTGGATTTCTGATTCGGAAAGTGCTTTGCAAGGTTGGAGTTTGCTCAGAATATCAAGTTAGGCCTCGAATAAGGAGAGGAAATGCTTATCAGCAAGTTTCGAAATTCGACAAAGGCAGGATCATTACCTATCGAAAGTGTAGGTTATCATTCCGTGATATCGCCGGTCGCACTGGTCGACATCCAACCACTGAACTTCCATCCACCATTTCTGGCATATTACGTCCAGTGGTTGTGCTCTGTCTTCTAGGATCCCAAACGCCATGTTTCAACAAGATAATGCAAGACCACATGTTACGCGTCGTGTTCTGACTTTTCTCGATACACAAGGTATTCGATTGCTGCCCTGGCATGCACGCTTTCCAGATCTGTCACCCACTGACAACATCACGTCATGGCTTGCTGAGAGACTGGCCCGCCGCCCCTCTCCAGCTAATGATGATGAAGCGTGGCATAGACTTGAAGCAGCATGGAATGAATTGCCCATTTCTGTTATCCAACCCCAGTTTGACTCCATGCCTAATACGGGTAAGGGCCGCCCTAATGGGGTTAGCTGCCAGAGGTGGCAGCTGTTTCTACTAATTTCGCACCCCCGTAAACTTCCAAAATACTTACATATTTAATCATTTTGTCTTCCTTCCGTACTGTTTACGTGCAATAAATATCTTTTTTGTATTTGCTTTCCTTTATGGTGTTTCAATTTTAATGGCCAGCAGTGTGTATGGAGAACCAACAGAACGACTACCCAAATTACTTGTTCATCAAGACAAATTACAAGCTGTTTAGAAATCTGCAATTTTCTATCGTTATAGTATCTCAAAAATCACTAAGCTTATCGATTGTTTCTAAAGCACCCCAAGAATCTGTTTGTTGCATCACAAAACGGCGCATAGTTTGTCACGCAGAAAAAGCATCCCATTAAGCCAAGCGGGTTTTCATTTAAAGGGTCACAATCTTTTACGCCTTCGTCTATATCTGAAAAATAATGATTAGGGTTTCATCATGCTGTTAATGGCATCAATGATTTTGATGTCTGTTTTAACACTGCACGTCATATAATCCACTGAGACATATTCATTAAATATATCAGACCCTATTAATTACACCACAAGCTCATCATCTATTATGTCATATTCAATTTATTGTTCCATTGTGAACTTTGCTACCGAAAGCTTTGATAGATTGATTTGCTGAAATAGTTGTCTGGATCTTCTTCTCGTCATGCTTTCTAAGCAACTCCAAGGCATTTAATAGTTTTATCTTTATCAAAACCATGAAAGGTCCAACGAATGAGTCCTCTTTCGATAATAGAACTTCAGCTTAACATCCTTAATCACAAAGTTGAAACTTAGATGTCGTATTTGGAGGAGGAAAATCCACTTGTAATGTGTTTAATCCTGAAGCCTGGTGGTGTACTCTTTAGTTATTCACAGTCAAGCATACCTTTCTGCGTTGTTGCTGGAGCTCAGAGTTCAGTTGCTTTACCCATTTGGTAAAAAAGTCACGATTTGGGAAGTCATATTTTATTAGTAGCGTACAAACTGAAAGATCTTAGCTTTTCTAATTTGGCAGCAATTAAGGGAAGCTTCATTAGACATCCATACTGAAAGCCAGTAATGCCGTCAGTCTTTCTTCACTACACTTATGTCCATGTTATCTTAGAACTATTATGTTTAGCTACGAGTATGAAGCGATCTCCAGAAACCTGCAGTCAGCCTCGGCATTACACTCCGGCTTCCAAAAATTAAGCATGTAATGCAAATTAACAATTTTAGAAAGCATTATTAAATATGAGTAACTGAAAATTGTTAAGGATGTAGATGGTAGTATGTAAATATTGTATGTTAAAGACTAATCACAAGTGATGCCCCATATGCTAAGTAGGCAGTCGTTGGTCATTTGACAATTTCTCGAACGTAGAAATAATTCCAAACAAGTCAAACAGTTATCCGTAGATCTGTGCTCGATCGACCATGGTTTATAGCCCTTCTGATAATTTGATTATGGCATAGTGCTCAAGGGTTATCTGTCTAAGGGGAGGACTTTCTAAGGGAAGCAGGTTCGTATTCACTTTACACATTGAGAAAACGCCCATGCAGCCAGCCTGCTTGCTGGAATTTGAATTCCAGACCGAACTACAAGGTGTAGCGACTTTACCTGTCGGCCTCTGGTGGATCTAGCCCTTCTGAAAATCGGTACATAGTCTAAAGTAGCTAATCAGAATCAACGAGCGACCTCCACAATTGCCATCCATGGCTGTCACTTGGCAAGACAATATCTGGCAGTACTATGCATTGAAGGCTTCTCATGAAGGAAATGTACGGCCGCGTACCAAGAGTTTGTGTTCCACAAACTACCCAGTCCAGA